AGACAGGCTCCAGGATGGAAAGGAGAGGGTCCCCAGTGAAGCTCTACCTTTAGGCCGGGGAAGGCCTGAAGCCTGGGGGCTGGGTTGCCAATTCTGTAAAGGAGAGGGGGAACTTGTGGTTTTTTCTTGGGCCCGCCCAAGGAGTGATCAGTGTGCACTTCCTCCCCTCTGAGGCCTATAAAAGACCCAGGTACTGTCAGGGCTGAGCAGACCATGGATGACTAGCTGCAGAGAGGAGCTTTCTTCCCTGCTGCTAGCTGAACACTTATTAGGATGACCAGCTGTGGAGAGTAACTACCGTCTCTGCTGATAACTGAACACTTACTGGGATGATCTTCCTGCAAAGAGGAGCTATCTTGCAAAGAGGAGTTGCCCTCTCTGTTAGGAGCTGAACACTCATTGGGACACCCTGGCTGCAGAAAGGAGCTACCCTCTGTGGGTCTCCTCTGAGCTGTTCCATTACTCAATAACATCTTGCTCACCCTCCACTTGTCTGTGTACCTCATACTTCCTGGTCACAGGACAAGAACTTGGGACCTGCCAAATGGCGAGGCTAAAAGAGCTATAACACAAACAAGGCTGAGACATCCCCCTTCCTTGCCACATTGCGGGTGAAGAGCTTTTGGGCAGCCCAGACCTGGGAGTTCCCCAAACCAGGGCTGTGACTCCCTCTTTGGGTCCCTGCAGTTCCTGGCATCTCCAAGCTTCTGGGTGCCACTGTGTCCCCTGGTGCCAGCTGTAGAAGCTGCTTGCAGTATGCCTGGTCCAGCCACAGCTTTGTAGAGCCGGCACACCTGGAGCTGCCTGTCCCACTGTAGCAGCTGGTGTGTCTGACTGCACAGTGACCAGACCCCACGCTCGCTCACACATGCCTTACCGCTCCATGCCTCACTTGCCCTTGGCAGGCGTGGGATCTAGGCTGATAGCATAAGCTGAGTGCAGCCTGCCAGGCTGAGTCAGTGGGCCTGAGCAAGACTCGGGTAAAGGTGCCACTGGCCACAGAGGTTTCCGGCTAGAAAAGCAACACCCTGAACATCCCATAACATTACCTGTTCAAATGTCGACAATGAAAGGATATTGAAAAGTTGGTTATCTCAGAGACTTAGATGTTAAATAGATAATAACACACCACAAAAGTGGAAATCCAAATAGCTAGTTGCATACAAAAAGGTCATCAACAGCATCAGTAATCAGTAATGCTAGTTAAAACCACAATGAGATACTACTACATACCCACCAGACTGGTAATACTGAAAAAGACCAACAATGTTAAGTGTTGTGAAGGTGTGGAGCAATGGGACTCATCATACACGCCTAGAGTGTGTAACCCTCTAGAAAAGAACTTGTTATTATTTATTCAAGTTTATGATACATATTACCACTCTCAGGTATATGCCCTATAGAAACTTACGGTAGATGTGATTGAATACACACATGAAGAATGTCCACATTAGCATTTATAACAGTCCTAAACTGGAAACAACCCAGATGTCCATCAGCAATAGAATGGCTAAACATATTGTCACATACTGTTACAATGAGACATTGTAATATGCAGCAATGAAAATGAACACATTACAGCTATGGGAACAACCTGAACAACACATGAATTAAAAACAATGTTGAGCAAAAGCAGCAAAAACAACAGATTACATATTATATTGTTCCAGTTACATAAAGTTCAAAAGAGTGAAACTAAACAACATATTGTTTAGGGATGCATGCTTGCAACAAGACAATAAAGAAAAGCAAGGAAATGATTATCACAAATGTCAGAATAATGGCTACATTTAGGAGGGAGGCAAACAGTTGTGTTCAGGAAAGTCATGGGGCAGGGAGAGGGACTTCTGAGTTGCTGGAAATATTCTATTTCTTGACCTGGTTGATCAGTTATATGGTGGTTTCCTTTATAATCACTTATTACACTATATAATTGGTTTATGTATTTAAAGTATATTTCACAATAAAAATGTTAAAAGTAATGAATATACTGTGGATAGCATTTCTGGAAAGCAAAATTTTGCCAGATAATTTAGCTTACACAATCTTTGACAGTAAAACCCACTGATGTGGAATAACAAAACACTAATTAGTTTCTCATTAGAGTTCACTTTCAAGTGTAAAGGTCAAAAACCTTATATGAATCTCTTTTTGTTATGTTTTAACACAGTATGTAAATCTTTATCTTAAATTGATGAACCAGGGAAAGAACTATTAGCTAAAACTTCAGATTGTTTGGAACTTTGAATTAACTAGCTATTTTCTCCTTTGGATTAATAAGCATACAAGGAACTGAAGAGATTCAGACCAAGTTGGAAATGTGTGAACTTCCTTCTCTCCAGTCACCAGTTGCAGCTGTTTCCTCTGGTTATCAAGCTGGGTGTTGAGGTGGGTATCTAGCCTTGTAAGCTTAGTGTGCTGTTATTAAATACTTTCTAAGTAGGTGGCCCCGGGCTCTCCTGAGTGCCCTTCTGTTCTACAGCACTGAGGTTGTAAGGTGGAGTCACTGACAATGAAAACAGATCAGGCTGCTGAAAAACCCTACATGGAACACACTTAACTGGAGGTGTTATCTGCTGGGCTGCAGAACTCTGATGTTTCCACCCTTTTCCGTCAAAGCCCACAAGGCTTAAACTCTCTGAGTTGTTTAGCTTCACAAAATCCCCTAAATCTGTGTGTTTTACTCCTTTAATTTCCACCATTCCCCTGATGTAAGATAGGAAGAGGGGGAAAAACAAAAAATATTTATTTTGTAGCCACGTGAGACCATTACTTGTTGGTCTGATTAACTGCGAGTCTCATTTGGAAGGATGCAGCAGGGGATTGGTCATGTAAAGACAGAAAGATCCAGGGTAATTTAAGCAGGATTTTTTTTTTTTTTTTTTTGACAGAGTCTCGCTCTGCCACCCAAGCTGGAGTGCAGTGGTGAGATCTCGGCTCACCGCAACCTCCACCTCCTGGGTTCAGGTGATTCTCCAGCCTCCGGAGTAACTGGCGTGATCTGCCTGCCTCGGCCTCCCGAAGTGCTGAGATTACAGGCATGAGCCACCGTGCCCAGCCTTAAGCAGGATGTTTAACCTGGCTCTTGCAACTACAGGTCAAGGGCAGTAAGGTCAGATGCTAGTCTGTGAGACTCTCCTTGGTTTTGCCACATCCTCCTTTGCCCCTCCCACCACCTTTCCTGTACCATTTTAATGAACAGGAGCCCTAGGATTTAACCAGTTAAAAGTTTCCTTAAGGGAACCGTTTGCAGATGGTGGTGGCAGTAGTGGCAGAAACCCAGAGCTTCCCAAATTTGTCTATAATACACTTGCTCCTATCTCACCCCTCCTCCAGGTGGAAATACTGGTAATATCCATTACTACTGTTTTCAGAGGAGATGGAGTGTACTAGGGTCCAGCGACAGAATTGTGAAATTTGCTTTCATTATTGCTGCTGCTTTAATGTCTTTCTGATACGATTGACCATTCTCATGCTATTCACTCAAGACAGATTTCTCAGGATTCTGATCCTTTTATTTTAAATTTCTTTTCCTGGAGAACTACACTTTAAACTTCATAAGTTTTTACTTGACTTTCCTTTCCAGGATAACGTCTGTAGGAAAAGCTGCATAATAGTAATAATATTTGTTTTAGAAAGAAAATAACCTTTGAGTCAGACCTGAAACACAGGCCAACATTTCTTGATGACAGTGTACACTGATGAACCAAGACGAGAACCTCTAGCAAGCTCCAAACCGTAAGAAAGAACGATGCGTAAAAGTGAGGCACTATTAATGAAATTCTTCCCTTGACAGTCAAAAGTCCTTCCACAATCTCCCGGAGGATGGCTCCCTTCTAATCCTCCCTTCCCGCCGCCCTAACAATCTGCCCGAGGATGGGTTCCTTCCCCTGCCCAGCATTTCATCTCCTTTTCCACCGAAGACTCAGGTTGTGACTCTGTACTCAGGCCGCACCCCTGTTTCCTTTCATAGCTAGGGGGAGGGGAGGAATGTATTACAACTCATTTTTACAATGCACTGCAGTTTACAAAGCGCTTGCACTTCCACCATATCCTAGGAGCTTCGCGAGTGCCACGTGAGAGAGGCATTCATTCATTCGTTCATTCATTCATCAAACATTTGCTCTGCACGACCACACGTTATCCAGCGCTGAGTCTCACCGCCACGGCACGGGAACGGTGGGGCGGTCTCTCCCTGGAGCAGGTGCAGAGGATCAGGCCGTGGGGTAACTCCTCGATCAGTCCGGCTTTTCGAGGGCCTGTTTGGAGCCAAATGCCTCACCTTTGGGTGGTGCGCGCAGTTGCCTGAAGGCGCGGCCTAGGCCTCCTCCTTCCTCCCAAAGGAGCAGTCCCACCTGCCCCGCAGGAAACTGCTACAGAGCAAGCTCTCCGGGCCGCCCTCGGGTCAGGGGTAAAATCGGGCGGCAGCTTAGGCTCGTCTCAGCTCCTCCCCTTCCTCTCTTCAGTTCTGACGCGGCCGTAGAGGCGGCAGCAGCGGCGGCGGCTGCGAGTCCCGCGGCCCGAGGCGCACCCACCCGCTCGCCGATCCCCACTTCCTCTTCCCTTGGAGCGTCATCAGAGCGCGCCAGAGGCGCCCAGGGCGGGGTAGCTGGATGGGGAAAAAAGGCCAGCGGAGGAAGCCTCAGAGCGGAAAGAAGAGGGAGGGGGAGGAGAGCGGTTGCTAGGTAACTTGCGTCATCTGCAGGCGCCACTCTCCTCCCGCCCCTCTCTCTAGAGTGAGGCGAGAGCCCCGCACAGAGCGAGGGAGACAGCGAGCTGAGCTCCGGGCGCTGCTGCCGCCGCCGCCGAGAGTAAGAGCTAAGGAGCATCCGAGAGACTCAGCCCCTCTGCACTGGCCGCCGCTGAGACCTTCGCCCTCACCTGGGTCAGCGGGAGCCGCGGCCACACTCCTCTCCCCCCCTCACCTTCCCGGCCGGCAGCGGCGGCTGCACACGCCGGAGCCGAAGCCGGAGCCGGAGCCCGAGCCCGAGCCGGAGCCGGCGGCTTGGGGGGCAGGGAGGCGGCTACCGCCGGCCGGGACTGGGTAGCTGCTCCGCGGTGAGAGAACGCTGAGGAGGCGCCGGAGCTTCTGCCTCGTCCCGGGGCGTGGGGCGTGGGACCCCCAAGGTGTAGGGAGGGGGGTCCCAGCCGCAGCGACACATGCTGGAGCCGGGAGCGGGGGCGGCGCCGAGCGGAGCCGGCCGGGTCCCCCGCCTCGCCGCCTGTTCGGCCACCCGCCCGGGTCCGTAGCATCTTGCCCCGGAGTGTATGAGCCGGGGCCCCAACCAAGCTCTGCAACCACCCCCCAGCCGGGGGGACGGGGACCCCGATGTGAGGCGGCGGCTGGGGCGGCGGAGAGAGCGGGACCGACGCCGCCGTCCTTTGCTCACCTTCCCCCTCCCCTCAGCCCCCTTCGGGGGTCTTCTCCCTTGGCCAGTCGCCGGCCCCCCGGCTCCTTGGCTGGACTCCGGGAGGAGTTCTTAGAGCCCCCCTCCCCCGCCCCAGCCCGGAGGGCGGCGGGGCCGGGGGGGACCCGGGGGGCCGGCCACAGCCTCCGCCCAGAGGAAACTTTATAAAAACAAAATCCGGAGCCTCCCAAACGTGACTGTCCCGGGAGAAGTGGCCCTGGACGGGCAGGAGTCGCAGCCTGAAAAGACCCAGGAAGAGGAAAAGAGGAGGTAAGCGGGACCGCCGCCGCCTCTCCCCTGGCAGCACGGAAGAGACCCGAGTGGCCGCCTGGTTTAGCGACACGAGCTCCGCTTCTTCCTCAGGACCGCGCCGGAGCTTTCCGCAGCTGCCGCCTCAATCCGAAGGAGGAAGGGAACCAACCCACTTTCTGGGCGCCGCGGCTCTTCTCTAAAGTGTGAGTGGCCCTGGGAGAGGGAATTGAGGGGGAGAAAGTGGGAGGATGCCGGCGCTTCCTCCGGGAGTTTTGCTGATGTTCTCCAGGAGTGTTGGGAGTCGTAAGAGGGTCTAGGTTTATTCACAGAAGGGAGAAGGTGTTAGGGAGGCCTGTATTTTGTAACTTTTTAGCCTTTTGTACGAGTAGTGCAAGTATGCAGGTTTCTCTTGGAGGAGTTCTTTCTTCAGAGTGAATACTCGCACCTTTCTGGCCAGTAATTGGCAAAGGAAAATTGAGGAAGCCAGAGCATATGTGCGCACAGAGGCCATCTGTATCTGTAACCTTTTCCTGGTACTGTGGGTGTGTACGGTGTACTTTTTGTTTCTGGGGTACTCTTACATAGGTTCTCAAGCGAGAACCACTTACGGACCCCCGAAAGCAAAATTCCCTTTCAACAACAATAACAACAACAACAACAACGGAAAAACAGTCTTGGGAGATTTTCATGTCAATACCTATTGGTACAGGAGTTAACCTTCTCAGTTCCTGGGTCCGCGTGTCAGGAGACACTGTAACAGATTTCACTTAGGAACTTGAGTTCTTAGGAATCACAACTTATTTGGGGAAGAGCATTTATCACATTAATCATTTTATAAAAGTGATTTTTTTTCCCTTCACCAAATTTTTAATTTTTTTTGGAGTAACATCTTAAAATGACAACACTTTTTAATTTTGTTGGAGGTTTTTCTTTTTTGAATTATCTTTATTTCTGTATCAATTTAGGATACACTTTTGATATTTAATTCTTTCAGGAATGACTTTTTCCTTCCATTGTTTTAAAGTTGAAGCCTATAAAACCTTTGACTTGCATTTTAGCAATGTTCTCAAAGTACCCAATTAAAGTTTCATGAAAGTAGTTAACATATATACAGACCTTAAGAGTTAAAATAGAGCAGATTTTTATGTAAGAAGGCATAGACAGTACTATACTGAGAATTGTGGTCCGTCTAGACAACTGTGTGGGCTCGTTCTATCTGAAGCCACTGCTGAGAGATGCTTTGTGGTAATGAATGTAAGCCTGGATTTATCAGCCTATCTGGAGTTCTCCATTCAGGATCTTGATTAAATTTATTTAAAACTCTCTCAAACTTAACAATGTTTGGTCCTATTCTTTTAAAGTAATGAGTTCTGCAAGTTTGTTAGCCTCTGTATTATGTGACAATTGATTTATAAATTCCATAGACAATTCATTTGTATATTCCATACCTGTGTCCTTAAATTTTCAGGACACAGCCAGAGTTTGTGTTTCTAGAAATACCAGAACAAGCCTCAGTTCATCTTTCCTTACTTTTTAGATAGAGGTTTATTATTCCTACTGTCAGCTTCTCCAGCTCTTGTCTTAGAATAATGTCTCTTATTTCTTTGACCACTTTTCCCTCCTCTGGAACTTCTCCCACTGTATTGTTTTTCTTTAGTTGCCTTATTACGTTTTGGTAAGGAACCTTAAATTCTGTCTTTTAAGTGTGTACTGACATGAAAATATTGAATAGTGGATGTAATGTTAGACTTAGAATCAGAGTCATGTATTTTGTTTTTCACAAAGATATGATAAAGAGAAATGTAGTCATGTAGAACCTGTATTTTGAGAAGGAGGGGAGGACAAACTAAGAAACAAACTATAGTTTGAATGTAGTTTACACTCTGTCAAAGTTGCTCACTAACTTTTGGACCTACTTTTATTATTGCTTTAACTATAGATTGGTTAAAAATTATGGTAATTTTTATGTTATTTTGAGATGGAGTCTCTCTCTGTCACCCAGGCTGGAGTGCAGTGGTGTAGTCTCGGCTCACTGCAACTTCTGCCTCCCAGGTTCAAGCGATTCTCCTGCTCTCCTGCCGCAGCATCCCCAGTAGCTGGAACTACAGGCGTACGCTACCATGTCTGGCTAGTGTTTTTGTATTTTTAGTAGAGATGGGGTTTCACCATGTCAGTCAGGCTGGTCTCAAACTCCTGACTTTAAATGATATACCCACCTCGGCCTCCCAAAGTGTTGGGATTACAGGTGTGAGCCACCGTGTCCAGCCAGAAATTATGGTAATGTTTTATTGCATGTTTGGTAGAAATGACAAAGTATTTGGGATCCCTGTCTTTGAGATGCTTTGACTTGTAGGTGGTGGAGACAATCAAACACAAATTGCACGAAGCTACAGGAAAGGGGAGATAGACCAATATTGATCTAAGATCACACTAGATGTTAGATATTATATGGTACTTTATAGATGTTAATGTATTTTTACATTTTTCACTAGTGAATTGTTGCTTTTGGACGTGTACGTGTAGAACTAATTGAAGTGTTAAAGCAAAATCTGGAAAGATTTCTTTTAGGAAGAAAAGAGCAAGTGGAGACAACATATTTAAGACTTTTAGAATTGGAAGGCATAAGGGACAGATAAAATTATGAAATTGGTCTGAAGGGAACACAGATGGAGGTTGTTGAGTAGTGTTAGGGTCAGTTGTGTTTGTGTAGATACATGATTACAGCTCAAAGAAGCAATTGAGTGTTCCTGAGAGAGTAGTTTCAGATGACTGGGGAGAAATTACATTTTAGGCAAAGTCATTGTGCCTGGATTGGGTTTTTTTTTTTTTTTTTCCCCTAGGGAACCAACATTTTTACATCATGGCTCTTGAGCTACACAGAAGGAGTGAAAAAGAAGATGCTTAGTGTGTCGATAGTAGCTTCTTACAAAAAAGAGTTTGGCAATGGGGCAGTAAACTTTGTTTTGGATGTAAAATTGTAGGGCAACAGTTGGATACTGGTATAGTTTCCAGACAGCAAGATAGTTCAGCAGGTAATATGCCGAAAATGTAAAGTTGGAATTATTTTCAAAATATTTAGGTTTTCCAGAGTACTGATGGAAAGTGAAGAGCTGAAAAATGGGTATTTTTAGTTGGGAGTGGAAAATCTGAATGAATGAGACACTCCCTAAAATAGATATTTTAAAAGTAGATAAGAGTTGAAGTTGAAAAGGAATGAGCAGGCTTTAAACATGGCCACGAGTTTAGTCCCAGGGTATATTATTCTGTATTTTTGAAACAAGCTAAAAGTTTTTTTTTTCTTTCTTTTTTTTTTTTTTTAAATAGGGTATATAGGTCCCTTGAGATTTTGAGAAGAGTATATATAATTTCATTGTTAAAGAACTTATAAATAGGAGGACAGTTTGTTTCCTGAAATTCATATTTTTAAAGTTCACTCTGCATTATTATCCTAAGTTTGGTCTTAATATGACGAAGTGAGGCTAAAAATAGCCGGCAGAGAGAAGGCTGCTTCCCTTGTTCGCAGTTGGTGTGTGTCTTTGTGTCCCATACAATGGAGGGGATATCCCTGTGTAGGCACAGCAGTGCTGAACATGCTTTTTTTCTTTTAACCTTTTTATTAAAAAACAAAAAGCAACTTGGCACTTAAAAAAATGTAGACATTTTTGTGGCTTGCATTTAGTATTAACTTTAACGAGGATTAAGGATTGTGAGGAAGGAAATATAGATTCACACTTTTTTATGTTTCTCATTTGGAATTCTGGGCCTTCCCACTAGCTTCTCTGACTTCTTAAAAGAGTGATTATTCAAATGACAGAAACTCTGGGGAAGAGATATTTAGACAGGGAGATAGGTCTAAGGTGATTCTAGGGTGAAGATATAGGGATTGGATTACATGCCTTATGGAGGCCTTCTCTTTTCACCTTCTACTTTCCACAAGA